GACGTCGAGCAGCTGCCCCAGGATGTACGACACATCAGCGGAGGACACGTGGCCGGCCTTGGACGGCCCGACCTCGTAGTAGCCGGGTTTCCCTGCCAAGGATTTTCCCGCGCCGCAGATCATTCACTTGGACTGCGCGACACACGGACCGTCCTCTTCAGGGAGGCCGTCCGACTTATCCATCTCATCAACGAGATCTAGCCAGGAAAGCCATGCGCCTACTTGTTCGAAAACGTCGACGCAATCGATCACCCGCAACATGACGTTCGAGACGAATTCAACAATGTTGTGAAGGGCACGGCTTCGCGTTTGACGCGGTCGCCGTTGGTTCCTATGCCCACCGCCTGCGCCGCTAGTGGACGAATCTGGTGGCGGCCGTCCAATCTCATGAATGAGATGGTCGAAAAGAAGTTCAAGCACCGCGATCCTGACCAGTATGTACAGCGCATTATGGAGCCAGACCGTAAGGCCCAGAACGCCAAGCACAAGGCTTGCTCCTGGCCGGCACTCTGTAAATGTGCCTGGTCAGCCGCTCCGCGCGCTGTCGACCTTCGTGACTGTTCGAGGCTCTCATGCCTACGAGTTCGGACAGCAGAGCATGATCGAGAAAGCTGATGGCTCCTGGGATGAACCCACCGCTCTGAAACGCGAGCGCGCTATGGGCTTCATGGACGGGACCACTGACGTCTGTCTCTCCATCTCTGAGGCCGACCGGCGACGGATCCTAAGGAGCACGATGGACATGCACAGCCTCGACTTTTTGGTTGGCAGCATCCATTGCTTCCAGGCAGCCTTTTTTTCCAGCAGCTGCCTCAGGAATTTCACCTGAGCGAGGGGGGGGGAGAGTAGGAACGCCGTCAGAAGGAACGGATCCGAGGGAACCTACGGAAGCGAGGCCTTCGAGTAAATTTCGGAAGAACGCTTTGCGCAAGAAGACCCTGAATGCGATGCCGACAGAGTCAGCCCTGAAAGAGGGGCCTCAAGACGAAGATGGGAAAGAAGCTAGCCGCTTGAACGGCAAGCCTCTGCATGATCCTCTGGAGAAAGCTACCAAAAAGCAGCCCCAGAGTGAGAACAGGCACACCGCGCAGGAGAATGCACCCAAAGTGGAGCCCTTGAACGCGCCCCTGGAGAAAGTTTCTGTGTCGAAGCCCCAAGCCTCCGGAGAAAGTTCCAAAAAACGGATTACCTCCGGCCCAAAACGGCGAGCCGTCGCCTAATGTGGCAAACCCCGATGATGAATCACCAGCTCTCATTGATGATGATGAGGACGAGTTCGAACCCGATGATGAACCACCACCGCTGAGGAGGATGCGTTCGAAACGGAATGGGACATGGGGGACACCTTACTCCTTACCAGAAGCGAAAGCGTCATGAACTGTTGACGAATTCCATAACGTGTTCAGGTGTTCGTGTGACGATTAGGGCCTGGTCAACCCTAACCCGTCACATAAAACCCGACTAATATATAAATTACGGCAAAAACGATAAAAGGTATCGTCTGGAAAACCTGATCGTCGACCGTAGCACAGTGGTAGTGCGTCGGGCCGTCACACTGGTATCAGAGGTCAAGTTGACGTCGGGATGACGTCACCTTTTCTTCGGCCAAAGGATCATGGGTTCGAACCTCACGATTCCGCATTTCTGACTCTGAATTCTGAAAAAATGGAATGGTCACTTTCTGGTATCTGCATAAATCCCCCGAAATTCGGCAAAATTTTGGTCTGATCCGCTCTCTGGTCTACTGGGAAGTTGCTCACCCCAGATCGGCTTCGGGGGGTCGGTTGGGGAGAGTGTGACGATTAGAGCCCGGTCAACCCGAACCCGTCACATAAAACCCGACTAATATATAAATTACGGCGAAAACGATAAAAGGTATCGTCTGGAAAACCTTTTAATCGACCGTAGCACAGTGGTAGTGCGCCGGGCCGTCACAGTTCGCACACAGCATGTCTGAGATGACGACCGTCCGGGGGGAGACGTTCTCGATCCCGGTCACTGACGATACGCCGATCTTTCGGCATCAGTATTGGTTGTCACAATCGGAGAAGGAGAGTCTGAATGAGCACATTGAGGAACGCATCAAGTGCGGATTCAGTCGACCGTCCTCGTCCCCATGGGCCTTTCCCACAACCATGCCTCCTAAGAAGGATGAGCACGGTAACTGGATGCTTAAACGGCCATGCGGAGACTATTGGGAGCTGAACAAAGTCAGCGTCACGGATCACTACCCGTTGCCCACGCCTGAGGAGATCTTTGATCAACTCCAGGGCGCGACGTGGTTTACCACGTTGGACCTTCGTTGGGGCTATCACCAGGGCGCTATCGATGAGAAAGACTGTTGCAAGACAGCTTTCTGGGGACCTTGGGGACTCTTTGAATGGGTCGTGATGCCGTTTGGCCTGAAGAACGCTCCGGCCTTCTTTCAGCGCATGATGGATACCACCTTGCGGGCTCAGTTCGAGTTCTGCCGCTGCTACATTGATGACATGATCATCTTCAACAAGTCGTTCGACGAGCACTTGGTGCACTTGCGAGCGGTCTTCAAGAGCAGCTGCGCCGCAAACGGATTCGGTGTCATCCGAAGAAGGTGAGGCTAGCTGTGTCAGATGTCGAGTACCTGGGCTACTTCGTGGTACCCAACGATACCGCACCGCAGCAGGCGAAGGTTGAGGCCATCGTCAAGATGCAGGCACCACATGACGTGTCCACGCTGCGCGCCTTTTTAGGCACTGCCGGCTACTATCGGCGCTATGTGCGGAATCACTCCCGCATCGCTGAGCCTCTGAACCGCCTCCTCCAGAAGGACGTGCCATGGGAATGGTCAGCTCAAGCTCAAGAAGCCTTTGAGCAGTTAACGGTCAAACTGACCGAGGCGCCTATCCTCAGGCGACCGAAGTATGACCTCCCCTTTGAGCCGCCACGCTGATCGGAGCAGCGCCGGCCTGGGCGCCGTGCTCGCTCAAAGAGACGAGGAAGGCAAGGAGTACGTTGTCGCGTACGCCTCTCGTAGCAACAATCGGACTCAGCTCAACTACTCCAGCTATCACGGATAGTGCCTCGCCGCTGTCTGGGGAGTCCAGGTCTTCCGCTGGTACCTCTTTGGCCGACATTTTACGCTGATCACAGATCACGAGCCTCTGAAGTGGCTGATGACGAACATGAGGCTCACAGGAATGCACGCCCGCTGGGCTAACATCCTTCAGGAGTACGAGTTCGAGATCGTTCACCGCCGCAGAGCGCGCGGCTCTGTACAGGCGCAACGGCTCACAAACTAGCACAGAGACACAAAACTAATCGGCAGGACACTCCATGAGTAACAAAGCGGGCTATCTCCGCAAAGCTACACAATGCTATCCCATGCTGCTATATACAAGTGCGCATGAGTGTCCGACGGCTCACGAAAACTTTATGGATGCACAAAAGTTGCGGCGATGCACAATTTGTGAGCGAATGAGTGGAAAAGGAACACGAATTGCTCGAGGCGCTTCCCAGGGCGTTTTCTTTCCAAAAAGCTCCTACATGAACTAATGACACTCACGTCGTGTTTCTCTTCATTTTTTCTCAAGTGTTTTGTCTAGAACGGGCCTCTCTTTGTACTCGAAATGACTCTACAAAGTTTGTTTCTCTTCGACCCGTTTCTAAAAACGATACTTTTTGCCTCTAGTCTTACGACTGAGCAGACTTTGCTCGACCTGCATGTCATGTTCGAGATAAAGCAAGCCAAAATCTGTGACTGTATTTACACTCATGTTCGACGCGGTTGTAAGATTGGCCGACCAATCTGATGCGAAGTTACTTTCGTACGGAATTTCTGCCTAGCTCGGGTAGTTACTCTTTACGAGTAATTTATTTTTGAGTTAACAGCTGTTAGCTACCCCTCCCGAAGGAAAAGCGCGTTCTCGTGCGATCCGTTCCCCTTCTATTCTAGCGCCCCGGGGTGTGGAAGTAGCATGTCGCCACCACGTCTTGATGCGGGCGCCTCTCGTAGCCTTGGTCCACGCAGCGCAACCAATCGACGAACTCGTTCTGGATGCCCAGGTCCCCCCTCGAGCGGTGATTCCTTGCCCATGCACAGCATCAAGAAGATGGGGCTCCTGCTGCAATCAACAGCTCGCCTGGACGGATGGTCTTCCGGACTCACAACGAGGAGCCAGGCCGATGAAACGAAAAGAGGAGACGGAGTGTCAAAAATCCTAGACGTTCCCACGTTGACCAGTTCTCATCACACAGTTGCGGAATAGAGTCTTTGTCTCCCGCCATCTCAACTACACTCTCCCATGAACACAAAGAAGCCAAACGTCCCCCACTCCTTTTCCTCACAAGCTCACCGGCGCGAGCATTCAAATTTTGGCCCTTCAGACAGCAAAAATTGAATCCGTAAGCCCTCTTCACAACCAAGCGTTGTGGGCCCATAACCTGTTGAAACTCATGGTAGGGAGTCGTAGTATAGTGAGTTAGTCGTCATCGGAGCTTATCGTATTATCGTGTTGCTCGGCACCCAAGCTCATCACTCATTGATGGCAGCCG